ACGAACTTTCCGTTCAACCCAATAGTTCGCTCCATAGGTTTTGGAATAACCGTCAATAGCCGAAAAAACACTTTTCGGTACATTTGAAATTGGTTATAAACTGATTTATTTCAAAACCTATGCAGCGAACTACAATCACTTTGATCTCATTTGAAAGATAATTTAATTCCGAACAAAAAGTTTCCAATATACATGGGTCGAAAAATACTTCCCTAAAAAGTTAGCGCCCAAAATCCTCTAAAATCACGGTTATTTTTTACATTTTTACAAATATCAGGAAAAGTATGTGTCTTTTAACAAAAAGTACCAAAACAAAAGTTGTAGAGAATTAAATTATCTTTCAAATGAGATCAAAGTTATTGTACAATATTAAATAAAAATGTATTTGTTTTTAGACTGCATCTTTTATACAAAAAAGTCAAATAATCATAAAGCACTAATTGATCGTGCTCGTTATACACATATATGTAATTATGAGCTCTCTAAAGCTTTGATATCGAGCTTTTTCACATTTGCCATGTACATATACGTAGACATTAACATCACCATTTCATGAGAGTGTTAATTAATCTAACGCACATAGCGCGCGAACCTCGGCAATATTCTGCAGTCTACGAGAGAGGCTGTATAAAGTCAGAACTACTCTTTCAATGAGAATGAAAACGAAATGCTTTCAATCGACTGTGTTAAATAAATCGAATATGCAATAATATCTTACTAGGGGGTATTACTTTTAATACCTGTAGAAATTTACTTTTAATTCTCTACAAACTGAAATGGATTGAGTTTTAGTCGATATTTCTTCTGCTCTCGCGAAACAGAAAATTTTCATATACGAGCACGTTATTTTTTAATTAAGCTTGTATATAATCTATTTATATTATATAAATATAATATCATTGCCATATACCATATAACAGATATCATTTATTATATACTCTATAATACGCGCGTAAAGATATTTTATAGTATATATATCGGAAATAATTGTTTCATGATTCATCTGGTAACGGCCGATCTGATAATGGTCGCGTGCGAGCGAGCTAATTCCTATAATTAATTAATAACGAGGTGACCGTGTCTCATGTTTGTGGTATTCGAGTCAATTCGTGCGTGATGCTACGCTCCGCCTCCGATTTCATGTTTTTAATTAATCCAACGTGTGTAATAGGGAGGGAATATGTAACATTTAATTTCGAATCAAGGATTAACTACAAGTGTCGCTATCCATCATATTTATGTCAAATATATTCAAATTTAATAAATTTAATAAAACGATTAAATATTATAAAAAATAGATTTTGTGATATGATAAAAAATGCAAAAAAGATTGTATCATTCTCGTGTAAAATGATTTTCAAATTGCAAGATATCTTTCTTGTCGAGAGAGATTCGTTGAGACGACGCTATTTATATCTTTCATTTGTTATGACAGTTGGTATAATTAGACTTACCGTGTCGTAAAGTGCAAATTGTGATTCAGAATCACGCGATCCTACTCGCAAGATCTTTTTCATCTCTGCCATCAGCTGCTGACGAAGCGTTTTTGTTTACATACGACTTATTCAAATCATCTTTGCTCATCAAGTGTCAAATTACTGCTAGCTATCTTTGAATTTGATCCTTACGTTTCTTTCTGGATCATTGCAAATATGATATAAAAAGAAAAACAGTTATCGTCACGTTCTGAGCCATTTCTTATATAAACATTTATATCTTCCTTACGCGGTATCGCGTTTCAAGATTCGTTCCTTTTATTTAAATAGCAGTATATTAGAAATAGTAATTTATGTAAATTTTCTCTCATGGACTTTTTATCTTCGATAAATGCATGCATTGATGCGCATGATATCACACAAACATGTATGTATCTATCTGATTAAAAAGATCAAAGAACACAAAATAACTTTCTTGGAAACGGTTTCAAAGCGAATTGCGAAAGTATCTAACGACTCGCGTTAATAACGAGTGTTCTGACTTACGTAAAAATACATTGAATTGTAACTTAGTTTCTCACGCATGCACAAAACAAAAGACATGACATTGTATTCGTGATTTCTACTAAGGTTGCGAAATGTTACATGATCATATGTGATCGAATCGCCTTCAGAACACTTTGAGTGATACTGCAGTGATATTCTTTATCAAATGAAAAAAATAGAAATCATATATTATTATAAATTTTTTTAATAGTGACACGTGAAAGAAAATTTATTTTCAGTAATGTTAAAGTTTCAATAATATAAATTTCAGTCTTGCTATTTTGTCTATTGTGTGCTGATTGAAAATATATTTATAGATAATATTAAAAACACATTTTTCAATATTCAAAATAAAACGTTATACTTTTCTCATATTAACGCATCGTGGCTGGGAAAATATCGTGAATTAAGCCGTCCTAAAAGTATTAAGAACAACCGTTATTCTTCATCAAGTCGCGCAAGTGTCAATTGATTCCCTCCATATCACAGCACGTCATAATTTAAAGATGCGGGTATCGCTATGAATTCCAAGGCTGACAAAAAATTTATGGTACTTTTCGACGCGGCACGTTGTACGTTATCAAAGCTGCCAATTAAGTTAATTAATAAAATTGTGTGTGCGCTTTTTACCAGTGGGAATAAAGAAATTGCCTCGCAAAGCTCGTCTTTATCATGCAACGCACGTGTCATCGAGCGGCAATTTGCGGTGAAAAGTGAAATACGACAAGACCGCATATTAAAATACCTGCATGTATCGCGACGCTGGTTAAAAACGACTAACAAAGTGTGTGCGAGCGGCAATTTTTCGATGGTCTGTGCCGGAATGTGCCAATCTACCGCGACGCATAATTTAGTGAATATTCGAATTTGATAAAAGGCTTACATTACGCAAATCTGCATATTATGCAATTTTACGTTCTGTAACTTCAAATCGACCGACATCGCGAATAATCCAATGAATTGGAATCAGTAAAATTAATAATTTGGGACAAAGGTAAAGAAGCAAATTATTAATAAAATATTCTCGTATTATTAAATGCATCTTTTTTTATATACAATACGTTATACATTTAACTGACCTTAATTTAACATGTTTTAATATCAATGCCGTCAATTCAAATTAATGATTACACAAAAATTATCAAATTATATGAACTTTATTATTATAAAAATACTACTTTAATACGAAGCATTCAGAAAGATTAAATTGACGTGTGAAACGTTTGAATGCATCTTTACCGCAGTTATGCGTATTGCGACAGGGAATATTCAAATTTGCAGTGCACCTGCAAGTATATACGTTTCCGACAACTACGCCACCGTCACGCAACAATCACAACGTTAGTTACGTCAAACGACATTCCCAGCATATTCTTTCTGTTGCAATTTCGATGCTGTGTTCGATATATCGACCGACAATCACTCGTGATCAAGGCCGTACTACGGGTGCGGTCATTAATTGTATTAAATTACATCCAGGTTGTGAAAGAAAAAGCGAGGCAAAGTACACAGTAACGACGATCGATTGTGTCAATAAATCATTGAACAATGCCGACAACGTGTTACATTGTTTATAGATGTCAAAATAAAATATCAATCCTAATCTGGAAACGATTAACAATTTTATATTGTTTTTTTTAAATAAAATTATTTAAAATTTGATAAATTGATAAATATTTTAAAAACTTTCTAGCTACACATTTATTAATAATTCCAAAATTTTCAATTCTTGTATGAAACTTATTTTCTCGTTCGCACAGCATAAG